TCTCTGAATCCTTCATTTAAGTAGTTCAAACAGTAACTTTTTTTTTTTATTGTTGGTTGTTCAAAACATTACATAGTTCTTGATATATCATATTTCACATTTTGATTCAAGCGGGTTATGAACTCCCATTTTACCCCGTATAAAGCTTGCAGAATCCCATCAGTTACACTTCCATTGATTTACATATTGATATACTCATATCTGTTGTATTCTGCTGCCTTTCCTATCCTCTACTATCCCCCCTCCCCTCCCCTCTTCTCTCTCTACCCCCACTACTGTAATTCATTCCTCCCCCTTGTATTATTTTTCCCTTTCCCCTCACTTCCTCTTGTATGTAATTTTGTATAACCCTGAGGGTCTCCTTCCATTTCCATGCAATTTCCCTTCTCTCTCCCTTTCCCTCCCACCTCTCATCCTTGTTTAATGTTGGTCTTCTTCTCGTGCTCTTCTTCCCTAGTCTGTTCTTAGTTACTCTCCTTWTWTCMAAGRAGRCMWTTKGSMWTTGTTTTTTAGGGCTTGGCTAGCTTCGCTTAGCATAATCTGCTCTAATGCCATCCATTTCCCTCCAAATTCTATGATTTTGTCATTTTTTAATGCAGAGTAACTTTTATGGCGTTAATCAACACCAGGGGGCAGGAGAGAAAGCAGAGTGGATGGAAACAAGTAGGATTCCAGAAAGATGGTGTGAGCAAGCAGTTTAAGTATGTGAAACGTCTAACATAGTTCTTGATACCTACTTGTTAGTTGAATCTGAAAGTTTAAAAATCCTTTAAAATTATTTATGAATTACAGAAGTTTTCCATGTTCACTGTAAAGAACAAAATAAGAAATACAGAGAAGCAAGACAACAAAAATGTTTTTATTCCCCACAATCTCATTACCTTCCAATAAGCACTGTTAACATTTTGGCAGAGCAAATTTTATTTTCTATGTATGCATATCTTTTCCCTCAAATGGGATCACAGTGAATTCTTATTATTTTTTATTGCTCCATTACTTTAACTGGCAATATTCACTTTTTAGCTCAAAGTATGATTAGGACTCTACCAGGGTTCTAGTTTTGGCCTAACCGGTTCCCAGAAAGCCCCTTAACTTCTTTAAGTTTTAGATCCCTCAACTATGAAATTAAGAGTTTAATGCCAATAATACATAAGACACTGTTCATTTCATTCTGTCTAGGAAGTCAGTATAGTCGGGCACCAGCCAGGTTCTAATTCAAACTCTACTTGCAAGATCCTGGGTAGGTTTCTTGACCCCTCAATTCCTCAGTTTCCCTTTCTCTGTGATAGGATAAGGTAAAGGCTCAACAAGCAACAACTACTATTGACATCAAAAGCTCAGGTGCCAGCTTTCCTGAGGTGATAGAGTAAAAACTAACAGAGGAATTGAGTACTAACTTGAGAACTAGCATGGGTTGAACACATGAGCTGGGCATTCTACTAAATTTGTCACTTGCACAATCTTATTTAATCCTCAAAACAAAATTACTGTCTCTACTTTACACACCTGGAAACTGAGTTTAGAACTTGCCTGGATTCAGGTAGCTAGTAAAAGTCAAACCCAAAGACTAAGACTTCTTGGCTAGTTTTAGCTGAGCTGAGGGCCTACAATAGCTGCCATTGGTTGGACATTTCGTTTAAAAAAATAAAGCCCAAAATTTAAATGTCTTTCTCAGCGATCTTCAGCATGGGTTTATTTATCTTCAATAGCACCATTTTAACAGTTCCATTGTTTGACAGTTATTTAAAAGCCACAATGATTTTTGTACATTTTAATATCATGCTGGATGTTTTAGTAGAGCAGAAGTAGGGGGTGGGCTTTATAAAAAATAATTATACTTAAGTTAGAAATTAAATTTTGTGGTTGTAACTGATGGTCTAAAAATTCCCCCAATTAAACAAAACCAAGAAATCTCATGAACGTTACTAGCTTGGGAAGGTCGTGAAATGCAGTGTGACATTTTAACATTTTTGCTTTCTACATCATTGCCAAAGGATGTCAGAACTGGTCTGGGTCGACTACTGGCTCTGCCTGCCTCGAGGGTGAAAAAGTTTATTTCATTTCTGGCTATAGTGTCCTCTTCCAAGGAGAGAACAGAATGGACTAAAACACAAAGTGCTTTTAAATTAAATGCCACCTCATTGTTTTATGGGGCTCGCATGCTTTCCTAACATTTATTAGAGAAATTGGTATTTTCTGGCAGCCTTTTCCTCCTGTGTGTGGTGCATTTATGGATTCACTCTAAGCCAAACAACGAACAGCCAACTTCCCTTTGCTCTGGCCAAGGTGGGAGGACACAAATGAGCAAAGGAAACACTTAAAATAATGTACACATTTGGATCCCGCCACAAGTTTCTATGCTCARATTCAACTCTGCACAGATCTACATATTTCCAAGTAACGGACTCTCCAAGCCTAGAAGAGTTGGCCCCCTCCTGGGTGAGGCCTGCAGCTTTCTCTCCCGGCCCCGTGCATTACGTGCCTGAAAGCTTCCTTGCTCAAGGTTCGCGGCAATGTCCTGCTGACCTAGGAATCATCAACGCGAGCCCCCAGCCGGGGCTCCCGGGAGCTCCCGGCACATCCTGGCCCGCAGCGATCACGTCCCGGGACTTGGGCTCGAGCCCTAGCTGGGCGCTGGTTGGTCGCGCCACTGGACCCGCGGCCCGGTGATTGGTCCAAGGGATGAGTTCACGTGGTTAGGCGCTGATAAGTGGCCTCTCCAGGGCCTGACCGCAGTCGGCCCGAGGGAGTGCAGAGCTGGTACTGCTCCGGGCTGGGTGCAGACAGCGGGGTGCTGGGCTCTCTCGGTCCGCCGCCGCCTCTCTGCCCAATGAGCTGCACCAGGTAGGTTTGCTGCAACTTCGCGCTCCGGAACTGAAGGGACCGTGCAGCTGTAGAGAAGTTGGGAGGCGTTTTCGTTCTGTCTTCCCTGCAAATGTAGCATCCAGGGAAGGGCTGGTTGACTGGCTGCTGTGTTAAATCTGGCACCCCGGGAGGCCTTGGAGGTGTGGAAATTTGCGCTGTATTTTTCTTAGGCAGAAGCTATTTTCATAATCAGCATCCTAAATCAGAAACTGTCTTAACGTGAGTCAGCTTTAGTTTGGATTTCCTCATGGATAACGACTCTAATCTTGGGTTTTCTGCACTAACATCCCAAACATTTAACTTGTGATAGCACTATGACATCGCTAGTCAGTTTAGCTCTGGGACAAAAATYACAGGGCCATGTTTGCATTCATTCKTTCTCCTCCATTCCTTATCATAGTTTGCCATAATAAACTCAAGTCTCAGAGTTTGAGCAAACTATTATTTTAAACTCCTGGCCAGGACTTAAAATTCCAGGGAAATCGCCCAATATTAAAACTGTCTTTCTATAAATGCAAAAAGGAAAAAAAAGAAAAAGAAAAAAAAACTCTCCCATGAAACTACTAAAGTGGCTTCTCCAGATATAAGTAAGCAGACTTCTGTAAAAACCCTGCCTGTTAACTATTTTTAGATCCACAAATATAACTTTAGCATTCATTTATTTGCTCTCAGTTTGTAGGTCTCCCAGAAAAATCCCAGAGCTAATAAATACTGTGAATGTTCTTCTTTGTCCATTTTGTGATAATGACCGCTTGCCTACGTGCTTAGAGCTGCTATGAAGAGAGTTATTAAAGCCACACTGAGAAATGTCATGTGCAGTGTTCACACACCTCTTATCTGTAAAGCTAAGATTGTAGTGGGGAAGCAGGAAGGGAGATCCTAATTACATAGCTTGGCAAAATGAGGGCTAAAGGCCAGGAAAAAAAAATCATCTTGATGGTTGCTTTTTGGTTTAATATTGCTGAGCATAGTTATGTTTAAGTTTTAAATAGCTTTATTGTCTTTCTACTATTTATACATATCTTTCTACATATTTATAAATAAATACTCATTGCCAAAACATTAGAAAATACCCCCAAAGTACAGTTAATAGATCATGTTAATCATTATCACTGAGAGAGAGTTAACTTTTTAGTGTATTTTCTGTAGTTTTTCAGTATTTGTAAGTAATCTAACATACATTTAAGAACAGTTCAATTTTCAAATAACCAGTTTTTTCTCTTTAAAGTTTGTTGTATATATTCAAGGCATACAACATGCTTTTATAAAATACATGTGTAGTAAAATGATGATATAATGGAACAAATTAACACATACATAATCTCATATATGCAATATATGCAATCAGATTTTCCATTTAAATGTGAAATTGTCATGAGCATCTGTCTATTGGAAATATAGATTATATAAAATATTTCTTTAAGTACATGAATGGTTGGCTTGTGTTTCAGTCAGTTATTTGTGAAAAATGGGAAAGAATGATAAGTGAAGTGTAAAAATTAATTCTGACTCCATTCCTGCCTTCTTAGCCTTAGAACTGTTGCATAAGGATTTTTATTGTTACTTTTTGTCTTCAAGAAGATTACCTTCCAGAGAAGTGGAATCAATTTAACAGCAAAATAAGGAATAATAGCCACAGGGAACAGAGGTCTGAAACTATGGTACTCAAAGAACCCATCTGGTCATTAGAATCTCTTGGGAAGCTTTGAGAACATATCCACCTCTGTGGATTTACCCTGAGAGGTTCTGATTTAGTGGCTCAAAGTCCCAGGCATCTGAATTTTTTAAAAAAGAAAGAAATTAATTTGGTAGGCCATGGTGACCTGACAGATTTGAGAACCATTGGTTCACAACAGAGCAAATGGTTCTTAGAGCTGTATAAAACATCATCAAATCCAACCTAATCCCCCTTTAGGTGATTTAAGCAGTTACCCACAGCCCTGTAGCTAACCAAGGGCATAGGTAGATGGAGAATGTGGATCTGATTTACCGATACTGTTTTCTTACTACATATAGTAGCACCTCCCTGCTGTACTGACTGCAATTCAGTCAGTACAGAAATAGTACTTGTGTGTTGGGACAGGGGAAGAGCGTTCCAGATCTAGGTGTTAACCCTCCATCCTTTTGCTTTGCAGAATGATCCAGGTTTTAGATCCACGTCCTTTGACCAGTTCAGTCATGCCAGTGGATGTGGCCATGAGACTTTGCTTGGCTCATTCACCACCTCTGAAGAGTTTCCTGGGCCCTTACAATGACTTTCAAAAAAGAAATTTTGTGAATAAATTAAAGCCTCTGAAACCATGTCTCAACCTCAAACAGGAAACCAAATCACAGAACGAATGGAAGCGCTCACACAACCAAACCAAGAAGCGGGTTGTGTTTGCTGATTCCAAGGGTCTTGCTCTCACRGCTATCCACGTCTTCTCTGACCTCCCAGAAGAACCAGCCTGGGATCTCCAATTTGACCTCTTGGACCTTAATGATATCTCCTCTGGCTTAAAACTCCATGAGGAGAAAAACTTGATTTTAGATTTTCCTCAGCCTTCAGCTGATTACTTAAGTTTCCGGAAACACTTTCAGAAGAATTTTGTGTGTCTGGAGAACTGTTCTTTGCAAGAGCGAACTGTGACTGGGACTGTCAAGGTGAAAAACATGAGCTTTGAGAAGAGAGTTCAGGTCCGAATCACTTTTGACACTTGGAAAAGCTATACAGATGTGGACTGTGTCTACATGAAGAATGTGTATGGCAGCTCTGATAGTGACACCTTCTCATTTGCCATTGACTTACCCCCTGTCATTCCAACTGAGGAGAAAATTGAGTTCTGCATTTCTTATCATGCCAATGGGCAGGTCTTCTGGGACAACAACGAGGGCCAGAATTACAGAATTGTCCACGTGCAATGGAAACCTGATGGGGTGCAGACACAGATGACACTCCAAGACTGTGCATTCCACCAGGTGCCCCCAAAGACCGAGTTAGAATCAACGATCTTTGGCAGTCCCAGGCTGGCTAGCGGGCTCTTCCCAGAATGGCAGAGCTGGGGGAGAATGGAGAACTTGGCCTCTTATCGATGAATTAAGCAACCTAGTGACTGGTCTCGACCTGTCATAGTCCCCATGCAATTCTAGGTCTGTATTGCTCAATATTAGGAAGTTTTTGATACTTTCCATYAGTAGGTTTAGGTTTGAGCTTTTGCAGACTTGTTTCAGAATATATACAGCCACTTGAGAAGTTAGTGTTGGGGTCCACATGGATGATATTACCCAATTTTGCTTTGGAGGCCCAGGTAACAGCCTAGAATCTATTTTTTATGAAAGTAATGCTTTTTTTAGTGCCCTTCCTCYTTCCCTCTCAATTCACTAACTTTCACATTGGGCAAGGAAAGGTCGAGGAAGGACAATTGATGGTGATGGGAAGCTGTGGTAATGGTATGACGAATGTGTGAAAGGTGTACGTGAAGGGCTCTGAAGCTCAAGTCAGAGTAGGAGTGGGAGGTCTGATACTTAATTATTGGTGAAAAAATGTAAGGTTATTTTGTGTTTTAAAGTTGGTTTACAGTTCCCTCCTGGGGAAGTAACTCACGGGGGAAAAGAGATCCATTCTATGTATTCTTGTGAAGAAAGGCCAAACAAATTTTAGGGGTGTTGGATGGTATTTGGGGATGATGAACTGTATCCTGGAGAATCAAGATCTTAAGTGAAGCCTTCCTGTTCAAACATGATCAAAAAATTGGGGGAAAGTGTAAGCAAATCTGGTTTTGCAGTCCTAATGTTGGTAAGCAATTTTGTGATCAAGGCCTCATGCTGGGGTTCTTGGTACAGAACGCTATCTGACAAAACTCATGCCATCACTAATGGTAATGACATGTAGGGACTCCGGGTCATGGCAAAGATCGTTCTTTGCAAGTGCCCATAGTAGCTTACCCCAAATGTCTGAACAAACATCTGATAATTCATGAGTTTTTAGCCTTGTAAGAAGGTTCACTGTACACTGGTCTTCCTCCTGTAATATGGTGTATCTTTGAGTGTGTTGTCAGTGTACACAGCTCACATCCTTCATATTGAAGGTGACTTGTTTTTCTGCCACACTTTTTCAATGTGATGTTTGAAGTGAGGACTGACACTAGGATTCTCAACACAAGAATCCGGTTCTGTGCACATTAGACGTAGTAGTTAATCTCTTTGCCTGTTTTTTGTCTTGTTGTTTTAATTTCCTTTGAAGTAAAAATGCTTTTTTAAAGAAATGGATTTGAATTGTTTTAGATGTGAATTATTTTCATGTGTACATAAGCTCTTAAGCACAGGAGACAAGAATGTTTGCTTTTGTCATTGTGTACAACTGCTGAGAGGTGTTAAGAGAATGCAGTTAATTTTAACACGTGTGATCTGCCATGCTGGAAAAGTACTATTAGAAAAACTCCACTGTGACAGTATTTGAGGATTGGCTGACATCCATAATTTTTCTGCTGTAAATATTTCACTCTCTTCTGGCTATCCTTTATGAACTTCTCACTTAAAGAATAAATGTATTTGATATAAGATCCAAGAATGTTTTCTTTCTCAAAGGCACAATTAATTAAAAAAATCAAAAACAAAATATCAACTGATATTCTCCTGTTTTGTTTAGGAAAAGCCAAGCAGAGTTAGTTTGGACTAGGAAGTAGATCCATCTGAGAGTATTTCAAGGGTTCAAGTCTCATTTGTGACCTCTGGGGCTGGTGCCTGGGGCAGTGACTTGAGGGACTGTCCCATCAGYAATTAGTGTTCATCACATTTGTTATCTGCTGGGTCACATTTGTTATTTTGGAGGTCACATGTCAACTTTAAAATGGGGAAGGAGTTAGTATGGAAAGGGCTGGAGAGGCTCCTACTCCTTGAGCTCCAACTCCTCCTCCTCCCTGAGCCCTTCCTCCTCCTCCTCCTCACTCCCCTTCCTCCTCCTCCTCATCCCCCTTCCTCCTCCTTGCCCCCCTTCTTTCTCCTTGCCCCCTTCCTCCTCCTCCTCCTTTTAAATTTAACCTTTATTTTATTTATTTATTTTAATGTGGTGCTGAGGATTGAACCCAGTGTCTCACTTGTGCTGGGCAAGTGCTCTACCACTGAGCTACAACCCCAGCCCCTCCAGCACCTTCTTGAGAGTTAAGCTTGGAGCTGCCAAGAGGGGCCCAGGGAGGGACAGTGGGCATCAGTCCTAGACTGGAGGGAGATGCCAGTTCCTTGAGGCAAGATGCAGCAGGTCCAAGAACCTCAGTTGTTATTCCCGCTCTGCCTAACATTTCAGAAAGGGCTTCTGTACAGTGTATTTTAAACTGAAGGGGAAATCAATGACCAGCCTATTGGAAAGGCCCAATTATGAGGGATAAGCTTTAATCATAACATCCTCTATTAGGATCATGTCAACTATAGGTCTGCAGGCTGTATCTGACCTCAGATGTATTTTATTTAACASAGAATTTAAAAAAAATTTTGCAGAGATATAAAAGTCAGCAGACTACATAAAAATATGGATTTCATATTTTTCCTCTAAAAATTGCAAGAGCCTTCCTCATGGCAGCAACTATGTGGTGTTGGGTAGCAGCTGCTCCCTTTAGATGAAGCCTGCTGCCCTAGATGGGGTGTGCTGCCTTGTGTTGGCCTAAGACCCCAAATAATGGCTGCGTTCTCTTATGCTGTTGACTGGCCTCTGTGGGTATTGGAGTTCATACCTCCTGTTTGTCACTGTATTCATGCCAATGGTTGGGTGAAAAATACTCTCTTTCCAACAGATGGAAAAAATTCAAATTTGGGTCTGACAGGGACAGACTCAAAGTCATGGGACTCAAATGCCTAACTTTATTATTATTTTTTAAATTTTTATTTTCTTGGGTACCAGGGATTGAAGTCAGGGACACTTAACCACTGAGCCACATCCCCAGCCCTATTTTGTATTTTATTTAGAGACAGGGTCTCACTGAGTTGCTTCAYGCCTCACTTTTACTGGGGCTGGCTTTGAATTCACAGTCCTCCTGCCTTAGCCTCCTGAGCCACTGGAGTTACAGGTGTGGGCCACTGCACCAGCTCAAATGCCTAGCAGCCAGTGGCTTTAGGCTTAGTGTTCCTTCCTGCTGCTTACACTTCTTCCTTAAGTCTCCCCTAGAGACCCTCCTTCTTCAGGAGACCCCTGTCTGAAAGAGGGTGCCAATTCCAAGCAGGCATGACTCTGGCAAGTTCTTACAGGTCATCTTTCCAGTTTGACTCAATGTTGGAACATCCCTGGGCTGCTCCTGAAGGAGGGCTTGGTCAAAGAACATGGTGTTTCTGGGCCTTTAGTATTGAATGGAATTTTCCACATTTCACATCCTGATATCTCACCTAATAGAAGCAACTCTGCTATTTAAAATTTAACTTGGAAGAATGGCTTGAATGGGGGTACATGATGTGCTTTTCCAAAAAAAGGAAGGCTTAATTTGCTTAAAGAAGGACTCTGTTCTAAATTTGTGACTCTTCTTTTAGTTTATTCCCCCCCCAAAGCTGGAAATTTCTAGTACAGAAGGGAACTTTGCATCTTCCTTAATGGGAATCCTAAAGTTCTATCCACATTTGGTGGTCCTTCAGGTCACAAAGGGAGAGTTTTCTTCAGCTTTCATTTCCAGTTTCCACACAGAGTTTTCTAGCAGATACTGTGAACTATGACTTGAAAAACTCTTCCATTAGTGGGCAGGGAAGAGTTCCCACAAAATCAGAATAGTCCTCACATGTAGTTTTGCTGACTTCTGRCCTTCTGACCATTCCTTCTTTCTGCCAATGAGTAGATACTCMCCTGTGAGTTTGAAGGTGAGCTTTTAAAATACTGATGCCTCCCCCTGCTCCTCCCAAGATCCTGGTTTAGTTGGTCTGAGGTGTAACCCAYGTTGGACAGTTTTCAGAGCTCTTCAAGTATTTACAATGTGCATCAAATTTGAAGTCTTCAGGTTTAATCTGGGGAAGTGTTTTTAGCTGCCCCATTTCTGAAAATGGAATCTGATAATGGCTCAGATTATTCCATTCACCTTAAAGAATATATAGATGATGAAATGGAGTACCAGAGATGTTAAAACTTGCTTGAGATCACAGAAAGAGTAGAGCCCAACCTACTGATCCCTTCTCCCAACTCTGCCTCACCACCACTGCCAAATCCTCTACTAAACAACCCGAAGACAGACTTTCTCATTTTACATTAGAATCTATTCTTTTATCTTCTCTGATCTTTAGCATTTATGCATATGTTAATGATGATGCCTTTGGGTRCAAGTGACATGATCTCTCACTCAACTAGCATCAACAAATAAAGAAAATTTATTATTTCACAATACAAGTCCCAGGTAGGGTGTTTTCAAAGTTGRTAAATTCAGTGGCTTAAATTCTGGTTATTTCTACTTTCTTTCTACTATCTCATTTTTTTGATTGTTCTTACACTAACTTGCTTCCTGATTATGATCCAAGGCTTAGTGTTCCCATCTTTAAATTAGGAATGATAACAATTCTTAACCTCCCAGAGTGATTTGTGAGAATAAAATGAGATCCTGGAGATGAAGTACTTAACCAACTATTTGGCAAATAATATGTGATGAATAAATACAATTATTTCTAATATTAACAGTCATGTGTTCATTAAAACGATAATTTCTGAGAAATGTGTCATTAGGCAATTTGCTTATTGTGCAAACATTATAGAGTGAACTTACACAAACCTAGACAGCATAGGTCAATCACTCTATGTGGCTTCTTGATGCCATCAAGAGACTCCATGGAGACAAGATGAATAAGGCTCTTGCCAGCATAGCAGAACATACTGTTTTACAGTAACCTTTTTTTAAAAAAATGTAAAGAGAAGGAGTACTCTAAAATAACAACAAAAATTCTAGTATAGTAAATACATAAACCAGGAACATAGTTGTTCATGATATCAAGTATTATGAACTGGGCATAATTGTATGTGCTATACTTTTATACCACTGGCAGTGCAGTAGGTTTGTTTACACCAGCATTACCACAAATGTGGAATTGTTGTGCTATGACATCATGAGGGTTATGATGTCACCAGGCACTAGGAAGTTTTCAGCTCCATTCTAATCTTATGGACTCATGATCACATGAAGTCTGTCATGGACTAAAGCATTGTTATTTTGTGGATGACTTTACCTAATGATAAAATGTTTTCCCACAAATATTCCCTTCTAATGTGGTTGTAGTTGGAAATGAACACTGGTGCTTGCGATTCCTTTCTCGAGCAAGGACTTAGTACTAATATTAGTATTCTGTGTTGCTGGTTAAGAGAGTACCTGAAATAGAATTTTATAATGAGTAACTCATCCATTCAACAAATATTTATAGAGCAACGTCTCTGCTTGGCACTGAATATGTTGTGATGAGCAAACAAATATGTTTCCTGCTCTCATGGAGCACGAGTTTTGGATTAACTAATTACGTAGAGGTATTTACATACCTCTACCACTTTGGAGTGATACCTCAGCTGGGTAATTTCAGGCAAGTTGTGCTATCACTGTTGCCTTAACTTAATCCTCTGTGAAATGGGTTATTTACAAGTTTGCTGTGAGGTTTAATAATAGTGGCTAAAACTTATATAGAACTTGTTATATGGCAAGCATGGTTCTAAGATATATATAGTTATAGTTATATAGTTATATAAGATATATATAAAACTCAGTTTTCACAACAGTTCTATAGTCCTATGAAGTGGTTTCTCTTATTGCTCTCATTTTACAGATATGGAAACTGAGGCACAGACAATACTTGGGACTTGTCACATAGTTAGTTAATAAGTTTTAGGGCTAAGATTTGAGCCCAGACTTAGAATCTGTGGTCAAAACTTTATACTGTGTTGCATCTCAAAATTATTATTCACAGGATACTCTTTAGAATATTTGGTCCATTTGAATTAATCCAATTATTGATATAATTAAGTTTATATATACCACTTTGTTTCCTGTTTGACCCACTTGATTATGTTCTTTTTCATTTCTTGGCTTTTCCAGGTTAATCATTGTTTATTGCATTTTTTTAGTTCATTATTTTATTTTATTTTTTTTAAGTTTTCGGCGGACACAACATCTTTGTTGGTATGTGGTGCTGAGGATCGAACCCGGGCCACAYGCATGCCAGGCGAGCGCGCTACMGCTTGAGCCACATCCCCAGCCCATTCATTAATTTTTTATATTTTCTTTTATTGCTTCTGTAGTGATTACTTTGGTTATTATAAAACAAACCATGGATTAGTAGTGTAATATAAATTATTTTTACTACTTTCTTGATAAAGCTGGAACCTTACACACTTAACCATCCTCCCATCTTTTGCATTGCTATTATGCATTTCAATTCTAAATGTACTTTAAATTCCATGAGACATTGTTATTGTTGTTTTGTTCAGTCAGTCTTACTTCATATTTTTCTGTTTATTTACCCATCCTGCTAGTCTTTCCTTTCTGTATTTCTCTGTTTCCATCTTGGATCATTTTTACTTTGGTATTTAATATTTTAGTATTAAATACTGATATCTTTAGTA